AAAAAGGGGCCCCCCCCCCCCCCCCCCCCCATGGTAGATGACCCTGACCTGGCCGACCTGACCGAGTATTTAGTACGCTTTTCAAATGCCCCAAACCGAAACTGTGCTTTGAAGAGATGAAATCACGACGAGCGAATTAGCTCCATCTCTGCACTTCGCGAACGACTAGTTTCGAAAGTCAAGATGTCGGCATTGGAGCCTGGAGGACGACCCCCGTGAAGGTCGCCCAATTTCAGCAACTGGCGAACGAAATGTCGCCAAAGTGAAGACTGTGATCGAGGAAGACCGAAATGTGGCACATGCCGCGCTAGAGGAGACCCTTGGAATCGTTCCGGCGGCAGTTAAAAAACACTGCATGAAAATCTCAGGATAAAAAAATCAGTTCCCCCCCTCCCCCCCCTCCCCCCACCCCATGCCCCAACCGAGGATTAATAAAAAACGATTCGAGTCCAACTTCTGGCAAGAAATGGTGCATAAACTCAACAAAGGAGCTTGAAAATTGGCGTGGTGGTGGGAAACTCGCCCATCGATGACTTCAAAACACCGTTTCACAGTTGGAGGTCCTTTGGGAACTATACAAATTCGGTAGTTCTCTCCGCGTTGAGGTCATCTACTCTGGAAGATGACCTTTTGGTCTTTGGTCGATTTCAAAACGGCAGTTCGGTTGCAATTCGGTTCTAGTTTCAGTTCAGACTATCGTCTGACCGAAGTTCCGCTGTGGCCTGACGATTCACGCAACAAAATCCCAACTGGAACTGCGAAAATGAACTAAAACTGGAACCGAATGGCAACTCAACTGCGACTGGACTGCGGCTTTGAAATCGGTCTTGGGCAACGCGTCGCCATATTTGGCAACAAATTGTCAAAATCACCGATTCTTATTTAATCTTTGAAGAACGATACCAAAGATCGTAATTAGATACACGTACATTTGATGCCATTCGGCAAGAACTTTTGAAACGCTCCTCGTACGTCCGATGGGTCGACCCTTCGCGGGAGTCTCACGGAGGGGCGCGAAAAACCGCTGCTCGGGCCGTAGTCGAGGCGAAACGATAGGCGTGGCAGAAATTCGGCATCGAAATGGAACGCGACGACCGCACCGTCGACGGATCGTCGTGGCAAACCGTTTCACGGCTTCGGTCGAGGCAGGCGAGATTCGGCCGTCGAATCGGAAAAGCATCGAAGGTGGAAGACTTCGAAGACCGCGGACGAGGATCCGCAGGCATGGCTCGGGCCTCGAGGGTGTCGGCCTCGAGGGTCTCGGCCTCGAGGGTGTCGGCATCGGTGGCATCGAGGTGAAGAGATTTCTTCTCTCGGATGCCGTTCTTTCGACCCGGCCGAGCGACAGGAGCTTACACTCTTAGAAAAAGGAGAGCGATTTTTCTCAAAAAAGAGAGTAAAAAAAATCAGAAAATTCTCACATATATTGTGTGTCGCTTTCGTTCTCGCATAGGCGTTGACCTACCTCTGACTGTACTGATTACAGTACACGTCAGAGGTTGGATCACCTCTTATAGGTTCTGTGGAGTATCCGGGATATCAGTCCCTTATTACCTCATTTCATTGAGGTCTGATTGAATGAAGTTCACGAACACTGTATATTCTAGGTCTCCTATGTGGATAATAAATGATGAAGTGTCTATTGATTCCTATAATGAGACTAGGCGAGACATATGGCAAGGTACTAAGCAATCCTGCAAGGGACGATTCCAGGGAAAGAGAGAAGGGAACTTTTGTGTACCGTGCGAAAAGCGAGACCCTTACCTCCATCTAGGGGCCTGGCGAAGAACTTCAAGCACAAGTGAAGTTATGCTCGCTACTCCCTCGTAAACAACTCATTATTCTCTCATTTAAGCAAAAGCTCATGGTGTGCTCACTTCTTACTCCCCAAACGCTCGGAATTTTCTAAGAGTGTAGGGATTTGCTCCATCGGTTCGACTCGGAATGCATGACGGACGGTGAAATCTCGGTTCCCCAAAACACGGGCCATGGTCTTCTCGAGAAGCCTCACGCGTTCGGGAGGGGTAGAGACGGGTAGGGTCCCAACGGAACGGATGAAGAAGGTTCGACGCGTCGACTGCCGTGTCGGACGATGCGACCGACAGAGTCGTTACGTGTCACAGAGTCGACGCGTTCGGTATCTCGGGGACCGGTCATCGTGTGACGGACGACGAGGAAACGAGATCGAAGGTCGCATCTCCTGGGTTTTTGCAGCATTGCGGAGGACGACGGTTGCCGAATCGCAAAATCGACGAGGCGTTCGAGTCTCAAACGAGGCTCGACGTTCGTATTACCACGTGCCGAGTTCGAGTCGGTTGCCCGGGATCGCGAACACCGGAGGATTCGCCCGATCGAACCGCGATCCCGTGAAGTTGGATCGAGCGGTTTCGAAAACGCACGTAGGCGTTTTGCCTGTCGGTTCGTCGGATGGCAGTCGGTTTGGGCCGCCGACGAGACGTAACTCGACACGGTCGCGAGAGAAATTGGGGATTTTTGGGTTCGAGCCGAGCCGAATTCGGACCGGAATTCAAGGAATTTAAGCACGAATTCCAGAGAGTTCGCCGCTGCAGCCGGAATAAGGGCATCCGTCAGCTCACGCGCCGGTTCCAAGCCGCATGCAAAAATATTGCATCGCAAATTACTGTATGCTCATTAACGAAATCCGAGCCGATGCCAAACGTCGCTCTTGCATCACGGCCTCGGCAGGTCGCGGATGCAGAACACGAACGAATCTAACGAGTAGATAAAGGGTTAGGAATCGTTTTCGTGCGGAATCCGGTCGTTGCGTCGCGAGGGAATCTCCTTTGCTCGTGCGGGGAATCGCAGATCGTGGAAAGATTCCGTACCGAACCTTCGTTCCGTTCCGAAAGCGCGACGTTCTGTCGCGTCCGATTCCGCCGCGGAGACCGGAGAGGAACGCGACGCTTCCCCGCGTCTCCTCTGCGAGCCGCAGTCTTCCCCGAGCGGTCGTCTGTAGTCGGTGGACGTCGGCCTCGAGAAGTGTGCGTCTTCCCCATCGGATGCTCTCGCGTCTCGCAGTTCTAGGAGCACCGGTGGCTACCGAGGAGCAGGGTCTGCCGTAGCTACTTCAGCGCCCTGTGCAAAGATTCTCAACGCAGCCCCCCCCCCCCCCCCCCCCCCCCCCTTCCCCCCTACTCAGAAGAGAAAAGGGTGAATCCCTCGCATCCAAAAAGACGCCGAAGCGGAAGGCATTTCCTCTTTCTGAAGTAAAACATCCACTATCCAGTGGCATCCACTGTTGCTTCGTCCATTCTGGCGCGTTTTGGCGCACCTAGTGAATTTGCGCCCCGTGCGGGGGCCCATGTGTCACGTGTCTAAGGCCACCCCTGCCGACGAGCCGTGGGCCCGTCGTGCTCCCTTCGAGGCCAGGGCACGAGGGAAGCTCCGAGCGACCGACCGACGAAAGGGAGGATGGAATCGTGCCGGGTCGTACCGGGTCGTGCGCACGGATGCAGTCGCACCGAGAGGAACGGACGCAGGCGCCGCGGACCTGGCAACCTTCTCCGAATCACGTGGCATGGCTCCTCTCCCCTCCCCTCCCCTCCCCTCCCCGATCGATAGAAGAGGCTCGCGAGTTTGCGCTCTTTCGTCGCTTCCTGCCGTCAGCATTCCGTTTTGCAGTGTCCTTCGACTCGTGCCCGCCCCCCGGTCAAACTCCCCCTCGGAGGCAATCGCGGAGGATTTTCCCTTCCCGATCGCCACGTGACACGCGACCGGGGGCTCGTCGGAGGCGTGTGCACCGCGCGCCTCTCACATCTCGAGGGAAGGCCCAAACGACCGCGTGCCTCATTCCGTCCGCGTCTCGCGCGCCTCATCGACCCGTGCAACGTCTGTGGTTCTCCCGATCTCCCCGGCGTTCGCCCAGGTTCGTCCCCGCCAGCGAGTCGAGAGGCATTCGAGGTCGACACGTCGACGTCCGATCGAGGCAGCCATGTCGGGTTCCGGAATCGCCGCCGCGGAGCAACTGTCGAAGTCCGACACCTTGGGACTTCGAAAGAAACACCTCGGGTCTGTCCCCGTCCCCCTTTTCCGTTCCGCACTCGACGATCCGTTCCGCTCACGAGAGAAGTGGGATCTTGCAGACCGTCCTGCTCTCTCTTCTTCGAGAAGGACCCGCTGAAGATCGTGAGGGCCGAGGGTCAGTACATGTACGACGAAGACGGTCGCCAGTACCTGGACTGCATCAACAACGTCTGTCACGGTACGAAACGGTTCGCTTCTCGCACGCTCGACTTTTAGGCGGGCGAAACCTCTCTCGTCTCCCATCTCCCCTCCTCCGATTTTTCGTCTCGTCCGAATCGAGCGAAAAAAGTGGGAAACGTCCCGGAAGAACCCGCAGGGGGAATCGCAGAGAACGAGATCCGCCGGTCGGAGATATGCATCTAACTGGAAAAAAAGAGAGAGGAAGGGCAGAAAGAACCCTTTGCCCCCAAACCTGGAAAGCGAGGATGGGCATCGGCCACCTCTGCAACCCCGATCCCTACGCCCTTTGCAGCAGGTGCCCCTGGCACGAGGACCTGCGTTCCAGGTTCCGGCCTCCATCGAGGCCGGGAGGCAGCCGATTTTCATGCGGTCGTGATGCATGCACGCGTAGGATAGTTTCATGCATTGAAAATTCTGGGCGTGACATTTGTGCTTCTTCATTAGGTCGAGTTCGTACTCGTGCCTTACAGCATGCTGGATCTTCAAACTGCATACTATGGTCAATGCAATGTTCATGGCATTTTTTTTAGCAAAGCATGCAGTTCCAGCATCCGACATGCCGTACGGCACGAGTATGAACTCGGCCTTAGACTCTATCCCCCCCCCGATTTGCGATGAAAACATAGGCGATTCGGAAAGACGGAGAATCGGGACACGTTGCGAATCCATCCGTTTTCTCGTTGCAGTGGGTCACTGTAACAAGCGGGTCGTCGAGGCGGCGTGCCAGCAGCTGTCCACGCTCAACACCAATTCCCGGTTTCTCTACGATAACCTGTCCCTTTACGCTCGGAAACTCTGTTCCCTGTTCCCGGACCCCCTGTCCGTCGTCTTCTTCACGAATTCCGGCTCGGAGGCGACGGATTTGGCGCTCCGCCTCGCCCGGGCCCACACCGACTCCTTCATCACCATCACGCTCGAACAGTGAGCCCTCTTTTTTTTTTCTTTTGTTACTCCTCCAAGACTTACGACTCGATGAAGACGTTAACGTTTGACCCCGGTGACCGTGTTGACTTTTCCCCGGTGCAGCGCATACCACGGCCACGTGACGTCGGCCATGGAAGTGAGTCCGTACAAGTGTCCCGAGGGGAAGATGACCTTGCCTCCGTACGTCCATGTCGTGAGTGGCTCCTCCTTCGCGAATCTCTTTTTTTTTTTTGCACGTCGGAACGCGTTCCATCGCGGAGAGAAGCGTCCGAGTCCGATCGAGGAACGACGATCCTTCCCTGGCGTTCCTTCGCGAACCGACGGGGAACGAGACTCGATCGCGCGGATGGACCGGTGGCTCCGAGAGCCGCGGACTCGGCTCTCCCCGACTTGGAGGTTTCCAGGGGCCTGGGGCAAAACTAAACCGGAGTTCCCGCGGGGACCGGGGCAGATTCTTTCCCTCCCCCCCCCCCCCCCCTCCCCCTTCTCCCCTCTGGGCGGCCCTGCTTGGAAGGCGTTATCGCAGGGACGAAATGGGGATGAAATGGAGATGAAATGGGGATGAAATGGGGGTTCGCGGTCGCGTGGGACGCGGGCGAATATCGGCTCAAGGTTTTCCAATCTCCCCGGTCTGCCACGCTCGTTGATCCGATCCTTTTGGGACTTTTTTTTCTATCGTTTCAGAGGGGAAGCTCCCACCCGACGCGTCACGATCCCGAGCCGATCCGAGCCGACTTCCGTCTTTTCGAACCGACCGAAAATTCGTTCCGTGCACCTTTTTAAGACTTTCTTTTCTGTTTTCCATCACCGTGCGAAATGCAGTGAAGTAAAAGCATTGCCACCTAGCTCCTCCTCCGACTTCTGGAACCGAGGTAAGTCTGCTCGTGGAATGCCATCGCGTCCCAAAACGACTGGAAAGCCGCGTTCAAACGTTTCTGGCTTTTTTTGATCTCGGTTATCGGTTTTGGCATTTCGTTCGGAGTCTTTTCGACCGTGATTCTTTCAAAGCGTCGAAAGCGACTCCACGATGAATTTCCGCCTTTTTTCGCGATTCCTTCCCGCGAGATTTCTCTCCCGACGATCTTCTGCCCGCGACGAGTCGAAACGGATCGCGACTCGCAGAAGGTTCTCGAGTCGGTTTCGAGGCATGCGATATAAACGACGGTGCGCGAGGTAAGCGATGCGAAACGAGAGGAATTTATTTTGCCCTTTTTCTGTTTTCGGTGCATCCAGGCCCCGTGCCCGGATTCCTACCGCGGCAAGCACCGCGACGCGGACCACGGCCCGGAGGAGCTCGGCCGTCTCTACGCGAAGGAGGTGAAGGACATCTGCGAGAAGGTGACGAAGGGCGGGGATCGCGTCGGGGCCTTCATCGCCGAGAGCATGCAGAGCTGCGGAGGACAGATCATCTTTCCCCCGGATTATCTTCGACGCACCTACGAGTGAGAGACGCGTCGGACGTGCCGCGCGCCGTCGATCCGAGTCGTCTCTCGCGAGGGTCGATCCTCCGTCGGATTCCGCCCCGACGGGCTCGAGCGTCCCCCGACGAGGGGCAGCCAGCTGGGATCACGGATCCGCTTCGAACCGGTCGATTTCTGATGGAAATGGGACCATTTCGGGGGCACGAGGCTTCCTTCGAGGAAAAAGGATCTAATAAAAAAAAAGGCCTAAAAGTATAAGTGAGACGAGTCACCAAGTAGGAGGGAAAATCGTAATCTTTATAGTCGGAATCGAATAGGATCTTATAAAGAATAAAGAAAAGTAGGAGAAAAAGGAGGAGGGAACGTAAAAGAAAAATAGTGTAGAAGGGAAGTTAGACACCTGAGTCATTCTGGGCACAAAAACGGTTATAAGAACTTCAAAGAAGCCAAAGAAGATCTGGATGGTGGAAAAAAGAGGGAAGAGAGAAGAAGGAAGAGGGTTGAGGAGTTGAGGAAAGGGAGGATTTATGCTAATTCAGCTCTCTGATCACTTTTTGGGTTACGAGGATAATCCGAGCTATAACTAAGTTATGGAAAAGAGGAACCATACGACCCAATTCCCCGACTCAAATGTCGAGGAAATGAATGGGAAGTGAGTTGGATTTCTGGTTTTCCGTGTTTCGTTCCGTCACGGCCATTTGTCACGGCCATTCACGGCCCTTATACTGTACTTCACTTTTAGGTTTTAAAGTCAGTCTTTCGCATCGATGCTGGCATTAACATCGTTTCGATGTCGACAGGTTCCCCACGTTTCAACTAGATCGTATTTCAGCGTTTCCAGGTTGTCCCGTGAGTGATGGCAACCCGTATGGGAAACGATGGAAGAAAGCCGGACTCCATCCACACATTTGAAAGTATAAAATGCGAAGGTCCTGCATTTTTCGATGCCCTTGCCTGCGTCTTTTTACCGTTCACTGCCGAGAAAACGGCTCATGGTTTAGACCTAGTCGATTAACTCGTTTCTCAAGTTCATCTCGAATTTTCTCGACTTGGGTTCTTGAATGGTACGTGGTCCAAACTGCTCTTGGATTCACGTTTATTCCGGATTTCCGGCCGTTTCCAGGTGCGTTCGAGAGGCAGGAGGAGTCTGCATCGCGGACGAAGTCCAGATCGGCTTCGGACGGGTCGGGACGCATTGGTGGGCGTTCGAGACTCAGGGCGTCGTGCCCGACATCGTCACTCTCGGGAAGCCCATCGGTACGTCTTCCGATTTCGTCTGCATATCGCGACGACGTCGTCGCGGAACTCCTGGATCCCATTCTTTTTTTTTTCATCCCTCCGCGACAGGGAACGGACATCCTCTCTCCGCCGTCGTGACGACCCCCGAAATCGCCAAAAGTTTCCATTCCACGGGAATCGAGTTCTTCAGCACGGTCAGCCTGCCTTCATCCTCGTCGACTTTCGCTCTTCCGTCGGCTAGCGATGGGTAATATGGGGATCCGCCGATAGAGGCCCTGCCGAGATGCTGCAATCGGTAGCTTGTTGGCAGATACGGTCGTTGCCCTATAACATTATCGGCCGCTGTATGGCGTATTACCATCGTATTACCAGAGGAGGTACTGTAGATTCACTGTTCTCGTATTGAACTCGTACCCCCTGACTGGTGGAAAACGGAGGAAGCGCCACTTCCATAACATCCTCTACATCAGACGAACTAAAAAAGTCGCCCTCGTCGAAGGTGTCTCTACCAGCATCCAATGGGAGAACTCCCATCGGGGGTACGAATTCAATCCAAAAATAGCGGGAAAAATAGATTCATTCATCTTAACTAAATGCAACGACGATTGAGGCCTATTTTGATGACTAGTTTGATCCAAAACGTATACTACCACTTTTTATTCTCTCTCTTTTGTGACGTCTTTATTTTATTACATGGTAAACTATGTCCTGTTTGAATATTTAAGGAATCAGCCATGCAACAGCCGATTGTTACATACTTGCACTCTCAGCATTTTCTCAGTAGGCAGTTTTAGACAACCTGAAATGCGGGCATGCCTTTTGCCCTTTACGTTAACATTTGGGAGCGACCCCCCAGTCCCTGTACCACTGAATAATGCCAATACCAATACCGCTTTCAATTCCGATTCATCACTACGCTATGAGGTTTGTTGCCTAATTATGTCGCAGTTTGGAGGTAACCCGGTGTCGTGTGCCATCGGAATGGCTGTGATAAAAGAAGTGGAGGATCGGGATCTCAAGACCCATGCGAAGGAGGTCGGTGATTACCTTGTGAGTTCTCTGAGGAGCCTCATGCCCCGGTTCCCCATGATCGGGGACGTTCGGGGAATCGGTCTTTTCGTCGGCATCGACTTGGTTCGGGATCGGGAGCTCCGGACCCCTGCCACCGAGGAAGCCAGACGTCTCTTGTTCAGGTTCTTTCCTCTTTTTTCGATCCTTTTATCGAATTTATTGGAGAGTTTGCGGGTCGTCGTTCTTACCGCGGATGATTTCTCATCATCTTGTATTCGATGCCTGACGAATGGCGACGTTTATAGCAGTCTCGGCGCGGCGATGAAGAAAAGATGGATCGTTCCATCCCGCATGAACGTTCTCGAAAGCTCACTCTTTCTTCAGACGAAATCCACTGCAACCGATCTGAAACAAAGAGACACTGTGCAAAAAGAAATAACCCGAGCGAATAAAGGGCCATCGGAGTCAACATTTGCCTCACCCAGTATCGTAAATGCATCAACTACAGCCTCAATTTCTATCCGATGAATTTTTCCTGCATTTTTCTCTTAAGAAGTATTTCAAATTATCACGTGGCTCACGCCATGTCAATTTTCCTTTGAAATTGTTGTAGTTCAGACAGCTTCAGAACTTCAAAGCCGCATTTCTCAGACTCATTTTGCCCTGAAAGTCTTTCAACTTCCAACTTGGATCATTTCGCACGAATACGTTTCAAATAGATTTGCGTTATTAGAGGCGAGAATGTGCATAATCTTCCTGGTTTCTAGTAAGTGCTCGATTTTAAAAGCTGGAAAGTTTTCGTCCCGTTCCAACACCGGGTCGCACATAACGCCAAATTTAAATTTAACCTTTCAAGAGATAACTAATTGCAGGCTGAGAAGCTCCACCTTTCGTGGATTCTCCTGCTGTTCTGTCGACACGGTATCGAGTGATCCAGACTTCCTGTGAAGAAGAATGCGTTCTCGTGCTTCTTAGGTTGAGACAGGAGGGTGTGATCTTGAGTTTGGACGGTCCCTACGATAACGTACTCAAGTTCAAGCCTCCCATGACGTTCTCGAAGGCCAACGTGGATCGTATCGTCCTTCTTCTCCAACGCCTCATCCCCGAGATCAAAGAAGATGCGACGGCGGGCTTCCAGAAGAAACCTGAGGCGTGCAATGCACTCACCGCGGACAAGCCAGTCTCGCGTAATGCTCGCATCTGTGTTGCACCGCTCATCCAGCCACCCGGGGATTTACTGTGTTCTGATCCGTCTTCTCATTCATCTCTTTTGCAGATGTGGAATGCGAAGAGCACAGGGGTGTCAGAGTCGGATGAAGAGTGGTTATATCGCCAGCTGCTACTGAAAGTCATGTCCTCTAAGACTCAATCCTTTGGTTTTTTTTCCTGCAATTTCTCCTTGAGAAGAGTTCAAACGTGTGAAATCACTATCCAGTGTGCACAACACCTTATCCGGCGACTTTGTTCCTGCTGTAGTTGATTGCTAATGTCACTTATATTTTTCTCCTGTTCTTCTATTCCTGGAAAATATTAGGAATAAAAGAAGGATAACTCTATTATTAGTTCAATATAAAAAAAGCCGTGTTATTTGACATTTTTTCATACAAGAAGGAAGAAATTACTTCCTGGAGTTGACGTATTGCTGAACCAAACAAGAGGGTCACTCAGAATGTTTTGAGATGCTCAAGGAGAAATTTATGAAATTTCATTTCAACATCTGCAACTTTTCGAAGTATTTCCTGGAACACTCCACACGGCATTTCATCCTGTAAAACCATTTCCAGGAGCTTCTACGCCATTCCTCCTTTGGCACGATAGCAACTGCTTCCTCACGGGCGATGACAGGGGTGACCAGGCCAATTATGGCTTCTGGTTAGGCCACAGTTCTTGTTGCCGTGTGACTGAAGGAATTGTGATGCAGGAGGGCCTGGAGTCCAAGACGTGGTCGTTTTTAACCCCTTTTAGAAAATGTTGGGCAAGTAGACAGTGGTGTATCACTCAGCATTCATTATTCTTAAGTTCTCCAGTAAAACTGTCGCCATATGACCACCTTCTTCCCCACACATTTTCCCCTCTTCGCTTTGTCCCCATTGAACAACCAAACTGCAAATTGCCACTTTGCTTCTGGGTCGTCTCGGTAAATCCATGACTTCTCACCAGTGGCGATGTCAAAACTTCATTTTGACGCCTAGATACCTAAATTTCTAACAAATTCTAAAAAATAAAGTTCTGCTTGAATCAAGTTGAAACTTGTGTTCGAAGGTTAAAAAGCATCCTATCATTTCAATCACTAATCTCTACGCGATCCCATTTTTTGCACATCTCAAAACCTGAGTGGCCCTCGTAAAAGTTGACGCTTGAATGGAAAATTACTCTTAGCCGGGTTTCGTGCTTTCTTTGGCGACTCTGACTACATCCAAAAAATGTCCAGCGAGATCTTCGGAAATTCCTGTGCAGTGAACGAATGAAATGAATGAAGATCGCGGTTAGGGTCAAGTCCTCATCGAGGTCCTCTGCAGGATTCTCTGCGAATCGCATAGCAACTGGAACATACTCATTTGTTCTGGTAGATGAATGAGGTTGAGAGATTTAAACATATAATATTATGATGAGGCTAGAAGGGAACAGACTGAAGCAATGAAGCCAGCGGATCATCGGGTTGTCGCTTTTCACTCTTTTTCGGCGCACATTTGAATGGTAACTGGCGGCTTATGGAAAATCACGAATAAGGTGAGAACCTTCTAATGACTAAATATACTGGCCGTTCACCCAAATAAAATAGTATTCATTGGCACGAAAAACCGAGATTTTAATATTTAATTGGTTAATATCGCGTAAAATATTTGCAATGCATGAACACTCGTAAATCTGTTCATACACCATCAGTTGAGTAGCTTCAGAATTAGTTCAGCGAACTCTCAGCAGATTGCCATCGAGGTGGGCGTAGGGTGGGTGATACAAATTCCGACCCCCTTAAGCTTAAGTCCGCCTCCTCACCCACCGTTTGAAATTAATTTTTTGGGGGGATCCATGCCGATTGAGAGGAAAATGCACATAATGCCCATTCACGTTTAGAGACCGAGCATTGGTGTCATTTGGTTGAAAAAGGCTGTTTGTACTTCTGATTACGTTGAAATATGTAGCGTGGGGGTGGACTTTATAGCAGTGTCGGAATTTGTATCACCCACCCTACATCTCTGTCCATTTGGCTGAGAGTTATTGCCTGTTCTACAGCATCATTGGTATTCACAGGTTCCCCAAAGGAAAGGAAAACTCGGATTCGTCAGAATGCTCCCCACTGATCCCAAGTCTCGGACGTGGATGCAAGTGACGAGGTCGGGAAAGTTTCTTCGCCAGAAGAGACAGACATGAATGATGGTCATAGGCTTCTCGGTTTCAGTTCCACTTTCGCCCCCGTAAACTTTCGCCTGCGAGACTTAATTGATAGATAGTTGCTTAATTTCACATTTTACCTCATCTAGATAAACGGGGCGAGAGGTGCACAGTTGCGACTTTCCAAACTTAAATCTCGTGACTGATAACCACGTCTGCCTTAACCCTTTAAAAGGGGAGGTAAGGTTAACTTCCAGTTTCGCCTTCCCATCCTGAGTAAGATGGATACTGAAAATGACTTGGAGTGGATATAAACTAGAGTCCCTCATGGACACCATTATATGAAGCAGTCATATAATGGTGGTATAAAATACAAACTTGGGAGGCCATACAGCTATTATTATAATAATTGCATCTGAACGAACTGCCTCCGAAGGAACAGATGGTCTACCCGAATGGAACGACATAATACAGGGCTGCGACATATTTTTAAAATATTTATTTCGATAATCCGAAATAGATAAATAGATCCTGGAGACGGTGAATCCGAGCCTCCCAGTCCCTGTATTCATTTTTCTTCCTCATACTGGCACCCCCAGTCTCCAGCACGACCAGCCGTGATCCCACGTGTGATTGTTCCTACTAAATCAAAGCCACGAGTTCAAAAATGTTTAAGAGGCTCTTCCGGGCATATATCAGTATTCATCTTAAGGCCCTGATACACGAGGCAAGAACTTGCTAGCAAGTCCTTGCTTACAAGGAGCAAGCGAGGGTATACACGAAGCAAGTCGACTCTAGCAAGGACTTGCCTCCACTTGCTCGAAAGTTGTCAAGCATCTGTGAAACGAAATCGAAAAGAGCGAAAACTCATAAGAGGGGTTTTTGAGAAGTCCCCTGAGTTCCCTGGTTGCCCTTGCGCAAGTCGGGCGTAATTTTTTCCCCCTGTTTCCTTAATCTGTCTGTGACTAATGGACAGGTTTTTATCCCCCCAGATAGTCAAGGAGAAAATAAAACGAAAATGTGATGATAATCCGCCTCAATATCCGGTTCTGACTAATGAACTCGTTCGATCATTCATTCACTACAACTTTTTGCGCAGTATAAAAGCTAAACCTTGTTTCGATGAGTTGAAAACTGTGCTTGGGGACAAAGCAGCGTCTCTGGAGACGCAGCTTTGTCCCCAAGTCCAAACTCTCGGGACGATCCATTACTGTGAATGGGAAGGCGACGAGTCTCTCGCGGATCGATGCCCGCCCTGTCAGCCGTACCTGGTGAAATCGTCAAGAACCTCCCCTATGTCTTCCAATGAAGCGCACATTACTTTTTGAGGCAAGGACGTTAAGTTTTGACGCGAGGGTCTTAAATTCGTTCTAAAGGACGTGTGTTCTATTGGAGAATATACTTGGGTGAAGGACGTTTGGCACGTATGCCGTATGACAAATTTAAATATAATAGATGGCGCTATATCTGGCCGATGATGTGCTCGTGCCAATACAGTGACGTCTCTCTCTGTGATATTTGTTGTTCATAAAATATTTTTAGTTTTGCGGATCATACAATGAGGAATTATCATCGTGTCCTCAACTTCTTCTCTGACAACTTATACAATCTAGGCTCGGTTGTTGAGTGGATGTGTATACGGCGGGTGTTTCAACAGCGATCAACCAGGATCAAACCAGCAAGATTTACTCCTGTAAAAACCATCAAACCGCCCATCGAGATTATTTCGCTTGAGATACGAGGTGCTGCTTAAAAGCACACACTCCTCCCCCCCTCCCATTCTTCCCCTCTCGCCTTCGTTGAACGGGAATTTGCAAATTTCTGCTCCTCAACAGATCACAGGTTCTGCCAGTCGAGCCCATTACTATCTTCCCACACCCTAATAAGGTCAGACTGTTGCTTTGAGAAGTCACTTGACTTATGCCGTCATTCAAAAGTGTGCAGGGCGTTGTATCCGGTCGAAAACCCCTCGACGAGCCAATAGAGCGAGCATAAGTTGGAAAGATTTGGAGATCATAACATGTGATTTTCGCAATGAACACTCATATCTACGAACAAAAATGTGTCCCAAGGTCATAAATATTTTGTAACTTATGATAAACAAAAATGACCATAAAATGACCTCTTTTCTCCCCTTTGTAGTTGATTATATTGTAACATAAATTAATCGTAAGTAAATACTCAGGATCAGGTATTTTGGATTTTTCTGAATAGTAGTCAGCATTATTGTCTGCCAATTACATTGCTGTATCGACGTAAGAAACTATTTCAACGTTTGAGAAGGAGCATTCAACTCTGACAACTCGGGACGATGATAAAACCTCTGTGATTGATTGGAAAGAATTTTGGAGGATAGAGATTGCCTTCGTCAGCCATGCATACATCGTCCGCACTCGTCGAATCGGTCTTCTTATCCTTTTCCGTATGTTAGGTTTCGAAAAAGGTACGTAAAGATATGAAAATCGCGTTTCGCTTTTCGTACGTTAGCAATGAAATCGGATGTTAACTTTTGTGAAGAGTTTGCAGTTTTGGGATTTGTTCAAATAGTTTTGAAAACGGAAGTACAGTTTCGAGAAACGTAGCAATTGGGAAAAACTGTAAGAAACGAAGACCAAGTCTGCTTCTATAAAGTGTGTGGAGGAGGGGGGTGGGGGGGGGACGCCATGGCCCTAGACCAAACGGCAAGGCGCGTCTACGGACCCCCTCCCCCGCCCGAAGCGAGGCGCCCCAGGCCGTCGCCTGCCCGTAAATCCAGCCCTGGCCTTGAGCCTCACCCCAATTGGTTCCTACAGGGTCCTCCCGACCAATCAGAGCGCGACTTCCTTACAAGCCTTCTAAGATTTTGAACCGAGGGAAGGTAGAAGCAAGCACTTGTCGGGACTTGCTCGGACTTGCTAGAGCGAAGCAAGTGGTGTATACACGAGTCAAGTCTCTTTGCAAATGCTTGCTGGCAAGTTCTTGCCTCGTGTATCAGGACCACAAGGAGGGATAGCAAAACTGGGAGTTGACCTTGCCTCCCCTTTAAGGGTTGAAGCAGATATGGGTATCAGGCATGAAAATCGCGCGTGGAAAGTCGCCCCTGGGCACTTTCGCCCCAACTGTGCAAAGATTAAATCACGCCTTGTGATTCTTGACAATCGGAATGCGGGGGCCAGATTCCACTGGGGTGAAAATGGAAGTAACCAGACTAGTTTCAGGGTCAAGGGTTGAGGAAGGCTGTCCGGGGTTCCAGGATTGGTTCAGAATTTACCTAGGAGCTTTTGAGCGCATGAGGGTTACTAAAGGTCAAGGATTGTTTTAGATTCGAAGCTTCGAGGTTTTTGAGGATGAGATCACGGAGAGGAAAGAGCGAGGAGGAACTTCAATACGGACATGATCCATTCCTGTCGTTTCGAAACCAATTAGATCCGTGTTGCTGGAAACTGGAGAAAGAGAAGACCGGCCGGGAGATGACCTCATTGTTGCTCTCCCTATTCATACTCATCCTTGTGTATCCAAGATATCTGTAGTTGGGATGTAAATGCTTTTCCGTTCAAACTAAAATACTCTCATGTGAGCCAATTCATTTAAAGAATGTAGACATGACGACATTAGGCTCTTTTACGGTGGTGGATTTTAAGAGAAACAAAATTCACACGAGTTACTATGAACCGACCTTGATATCCTCTGATATCACTGGCATCTTTTCACAGTTCATCTCCATGTTGCTTCTGTCGAGACTCGATAAACCAAACCCTATAAATCAGATTTCGCCGACCAGAGAATGACCGATACTGAATTGAAGAACGATAAATTTATTTTGGAGTGGGTAACGAAAAACAATTCATGAGACTGAGAATGTCGACAGGAGGCGAAAGAAAGAATCTCATGAGGAAGTAATGTAAGGAGGAGTCGTGGAAAGAAGACTCTTGACCGCGTCTTCTCGTCCCATGTCTCCTAGATGACGAATCAAAGCACCTGGTGGGCAGGAAACAATTTGCCATTAAAAAATCTTGCTTCATTACTCTCATGATAGAATTTCTCTCAATTTTTTGCTCCGAGCTGTATGTGCCTATCTCTGTGGCTTGAGCCATCTGTCTTTCTGGATCTAGCTGGAAATGCATCACTTTTCTTCGACTTTACCCCTAAATCCATCTCACCCGGCTTTTCGACTGAAAACATAGGAAGGCCATCCGGTTGATAAATCATTAGAGGCAATGGAAGGAAGATAAGGAATGAGGGACACGTAACCCCTCTCGGACGCTTAACCCTAAAAGAGTTGAATCTTCAAAAATTTAAACAAGTTTAAAATATAGGACATTCCCAAACTCTGGAGGGGGGGAAGTGGTTGGAGGTAACTTAGTGCTTTTTGTCATAAGCGTTTTGCAACGGAAGATATAAGAAAAATTGGCCAATTGGTGATTAACCTACAATTCGCTGAATGAAGAGGGAAATGGCTAGAGGAAATGGCCTTCCATCTTATTTTTACACTCATGAAAAGAGAGAGGGCTCGTGTTAACGAGTGAAGGATGCCAGCTTTTTATTATAATAAAATTCCTTGCATTTTTGAAGGCGTTGACTGCTTGAGAAGCTGGATTCCCTTCCTACTTAAAGGTAATAACCCGAATCAACTGCAAGTTCCTAGTTTTTCCCTGGCTTAAATCCAAAACATTAAGTTCTTCCGGCTATTTCAAGAAATTCTTGGGGCTTTTCGAACACAAATAATCTGCAAGTTCGCAAATAATTATAGACTCAATGTTGACTATAGATAGACGATGTTGAGATGTTGATGTTAACTGTCCATTGCACGTTCAACGTTGACGAGATGTGAAAATGAGACAGATCAATAGGGCATTACCCTCATGCTGTTTTCCAGTTGAGAGCTCGATACTCTGTTATCGAAAAATGAAGATGACGTCTGGCGAGCCATCTGGCAGTCATTCAAGCGAAAGAGACCTCTACAACTGAAGTGTGTTGGCGCCTAAATTGCCTATAGAGCGAGTTCCTCAGGAAGTAACTGGAAGTCTTTAATATTTCTCAAATGGTACTCCCCCCCCCCCCCCGTCCCCCATGACGGAATAGAGGAAGAAGTGGAATTCCTAAACGTTACACGAAGCAGGTCAGCCAGCCCGAAGAGACTCCGCGGATTTTCGACTCAGAAGATGGCGAATTCAGCTGGGCATCCGAATCAATGTGTGCAACTTCTGTTTCCCACAAAAAGTATGACCATTTTCATATCAAGATTAACACATACCTTTCCATATTCATAATTTTATGCCGAGATCAAGAGTGGCCTGCGTTGCAAGCCTACTTATTAACTCTGGGCTTACTGGACTTTCACTTGTCTCATGGAAGCATATCGGCCCGTGGAAGGTACAAGTTTCGTGAAAATAGCAGCAGCAAGAGCAGAGAATTTTTCGCTGAAAGTAGGATCTCTTTCTTTACCATACTCAGTACTCTAGGTAGAAGTTAAATGCAAATTAGACAAGTTGCATCTTACACATTTTACATCTTGGACCTTCTCCAATTTAAGCAACTTTCTCAAATGCTATTTCGGACAGAGAAGTTTTCTCTTCGGTATTCCATCTCTGGAGATCGGCAAAAAAATTAGATTCTGTTCGAGTTGATCTAGTGACGAGTTGGAAAATTTGCTTTAAAAAAAGTCCCAATAATTTTTTAGAACACAAGATTATAAATGGACAATGGATGCTAACAAGAACGGAGAATTGGAATTGAAGCAATAGAGGAGGTTCAGCAGATTCCCAAGAAATGATTATTTTGTCTTCCGGCACAGATAAAGAGAGACAGCTTTTTTTAAATACCGATTTTGGCCTCGTTGGGATTGAGCCTGATCCATTCTTCCAGGATTCGGGAAGAGCGAGAAGCAGCCGGGTTATCTGATCCGCAATCGAGTTTGCTCATCGACTCTCTCAGGCCCAATTTGACAGCCAGAAGACACCAGTCTTTCCCTTGAGGGTCTGGAGTGTCCAAGAGGTTGCACAAGGCCTGCTTCGTCGTGATGTGCATCGTAGACGCTTCTTGATCGGGTAACCATATCACCTTCTCCACCATCTGCAGGAACCGTTAGAGGTGAAGTGGGAGTCCTCTCACCCTCTTAGCGATTGTGAACACTTACTTGAAGATCTCCGAAAAAGAAGAGATCGGCCACGTCCTCGGGGAATTTATGTTCTGGATGAATGTAGGTGGCCTTTGGTCCCTTATTCAAAAGCCCCTGACCGATTTCTTCACTCGTGTACGCGCGAGGAATCCAAAGCTCGTCCCTTAGATCGGCAGTCGATAGGACGTGCCATTGTAAGGAGACGCCAGGGCAGGTATCCCCAATCACCTGCACGAGAATCTATCTGTGAAGGACATATAGTTCCGGTAGAGTTCGATGGAATGCGTGGCATCCTCACCTCGAGAGCCATCTGAACGACGGTTTGGAGGAGTTCAAGGTTTTTCTCTGCGTCTCCGGATGGCCCTCGCCCGACGACCTCGATGCAGTCGAAGTTCTCGCCCTTCACCAAGGTCAACGCACAGGCGGAATCTCCGAGGTAAATCTTGGATCCATGGCACCAGTGTGCCAAGTCCGATTCGTCCGTGGTTGCGTATTGTTGGCACACCCTCCTCATCCCGATCTAAAGCAGCAGACATTAAAATCGCATTGCAATTCTTCTCACAGATAAAAGAACGGGATGGAAGATCGTACCTGGAGCCTAGGGAAGATGTGGACAAGGAAAGGACCGGCATCGAGCGAAGCCAGGAACCTAAAACCACAGGCCTTGTATCCTGTGGGGTTCTTTCCAACATCTTCAGGTGCCTCCATCAGGTTGAAACAAGGAAATTCGTATTCGTCCTCATCGCCGCTCTCAACCTGGACGCGATCAAAGCCGTATTACCTCCCAAGTAACACAAAACATTCCAGCAACATTTTAAGAATGTTGATGATTGATGTTGCTTCAATGTCCAAAACGTCAACGTTGCTCGAATGTTGCAAAAGAACATCGCATGGACGTTGCAGATCAAAACATAAGTTTTCTTATGTTACAGTAACGTTTCGGGAATGTTGATGGAGAACGTATCCTCACTGGCACCTGATCTGGACTAATATATTGGTATTACAACCCAAAAAGCATAGGCTTCATTGGTCCTGAGCTGGATCGAAAATCATGCCAAAATTGAATTACTCCTTTCATCATTTCCTACCACATTCCTTAACCAGCCATAGAGGTGTTCCCATCAACAGGATGACCCTGTACTGGTGTTACCCCTGCCTATGCATTATACAGTACCATGGATGGTAGATGGTACATTTTTGGATATTGTCTTCCCCTTGATGTGCTAAATATAGCACATTTCAGGGAATGGTCCACCCAATATGTTCGATGGAGTGCCCACGAATTCTGCTCTTCCTCTCCTCATCCTGTTCTCAGTTTGAGGAAAAGAGGAATTAAATTTACAGATTCTCTATCATCGCTTTCTTTAACTCCTGTTTAACGAAATCACGAAGTTCTTGGAAAGGGTTCTTTTAGGAATATTAGCTTGTTTTCGGCCTGGACTCCATGAATCTGTCTCGAATATGGGAATAGCAAATGATGAAGTCCCCGCGTTCTTTGATTCCTATAATGAGACTAGACGAGATATATGGCAAGGTGCTAAACACTCCTGTGAGGGACGATTCCATGGAAAGGGAGAAAAGCACTTTTGCGTACTGATCGAAAAGCGAGACCTACGCCTCCATCTAGTAAATTGGAGGGCAACTTTACCATTCCTTAAAACTTCTAAGCGGATATTGTACCAGAATGTTGTCGCTACGTTGTCAATGTCAGCAGTGTCAACATTCTTTCAATATTGATAGCAAATGTTGCAGAAACATTCGTCTCAGCAACTTTCCAGGTGCTCAAAAGCGAAAAACATTGAAGCAATGTTTTATAAATGTTGTTCATCAACTCGCTACATAGAGTGACGTTGAAACATTTCGGAAACGTTCCATCAACATACTGTGTTACTTGGGCGTGTATCCTGTGAAAGAAACCGAGAGGAGTCTTCTATTTTCGACATTACTTGGATGCAGAGCCCAATGGCCTGAAGGAGTTGGAGCATGTCGAAAGCTTCTGCATGGGAAAAGGTCATCTGGAAGTCATCCAGGGAATAGGAACCGGTTACGTGGGCCTTGCCATGAAATCTCAGAGATAGGAGTCGACCGATGATGGAATCTCCGAGCCACCTCGGGGAAAGCACGACGAGGTCCTCCGTCGGTCCCACCAGGTACACCACCTACTCGACATCGATTTCCTTTTAGGATATATAGGAGCCAAGTGATCCTACATTACCCCCAGCGAACAAAGGATTCGTGTTTGGCGAAGGCCCGAGTTCCTTCATCGATCGGGGCCTTCGATCACACGGACGAAGAGGGAAGAAAAAGCACTTGGGGAAATAAAGTGCATACAATGAATAGGATCCTACAGTCGCATCCCTGTGTGCGAGAGGAGGCAACTACATGAGGACTCCAGTTCTTCTCAAAACAGATTTTATATTCGCGCTTGCATTTCCTGTTGGTACACGGGGGTGATGCGGAATCGGTACATCGTCTTCCCAGGCAACAGTCAAGGAAACTGAACATTTTCATGAATGGTATCATCGTGAATGGATTCCGATACCTCTCCCATGAGCTGGAGTTGTTGAGTGGCCTGCATGATGTGTTCGATGCCGGCAAGGGGATTCACATCTTCATTAATGGCGTCGAGAAATTCCCTCCATTTGAGGACAGGGAAATGGGGTGAACGTTTCCTTAGTTCTCCTAGCGCCTCGGTGCAGGCTTCCAGGAACATGGAACTCCTCGGAAGGCCCTATTCTCCCAGTTAATGGAAAATAAAACACACGGTGCAATACAAGCTCTTTCCAGACAGATTCATTCGATTTGTGTACATATAACTAACTGTAGGCTTATGAAAAAAAGACAATCTCGGTAGCCATCTTTATTTCGCATGGGAAATCCATTGGCTTACGAAACCGGCGATCCGCCGGTCGTAGACAGCTGTTTGTTTCTTTAAGAAGTTCATACATTCATCCAAGAGATAGCAGCACATGCTGCATATGTCTTAAAGCTGAAGTTCTGAGGTATCGAAATCATAATCAAAGATCAAAATCTGGTGCAAATTTAGTGCTCGGAAATTAATAAGCCAATGGGTTAACACGTTACTTCGGTAGTTATTTTATTTTCATATGACGACTTCTAATTGTGAAATAGGCTAGTGCAATGGTCAGCAACTGGCGTCCCGCGGGCCAAATCTGGCCCGCTAAGACCAGGGTATCGGACATTACGGTCTGACAGGAGACGTCCAATAAAATTTTAGTTTTATTGACACTTGATAGGTGTTGGCTAGCGAACGTGCAGTATTCTGCCATCCGGTCCCCTGTGAAATTTAGTTGCCGATCTCTGGGTTGGTGTGTGAGTTTAAAGCTTTAGAAGTTCACAATCGCACTGCCTCTCAGTGAGATTCACGGAGTCAGATTTTCCTCCGTCTGACATCCCTGTTAGAAAGGAGAAATCAGTCGGTGCAAACAGCCCCGTCGAGGTGGTCTCACTCAGCCTCGAGCCATCCGACGAGAAAGGCTGGCTTAAGGCTCCAGAAATCCATCTGAGCGTGTGAAAGGGTTCGATGTGGCCAAACGAGATTTTCTAACTAAGCAAGGGACAGGATTTGTCCAACATGCAAATGTTGCCATTGAACTTGCTGACTACCATAGCCCTAGTAGCACATAACATTGAATCAACATTGGTTGAATCCATGTTGTTTCAATGTTATGTGCTACTAGGGAGGTTATGTTGACTTCATTACGCCTTCTCTATCTCTTGAGACTCCTGGTCAATCATGTCGGTTATTTTCCAATGAATTTTCAGCAGTCGTCTCTAGAAGTCTCACAGACTAGCAGTATGACATGCTAACACTTCTTGTCTCAGATTCACCACAGAAATTTTCATCAGAATTGGGCGAACCTTTGTTGCTATACAATTCCGAACACTGCATGTTATCGTGGCAGTCGCCAGAGGAGCCAATTTCAGGCAAATCGAGTTTCCCCTTATTTGCAATGGCTGAGAAAAATCATTCAAGGAAGTCGTAGTTGAAAGACAAAAGTGCATGTTACTTCAGCAAATCTTATGGACACGAAGTATCGATCACATATTGAAGCAGATCAATTAAACTTGTCAAATTTTGACATTGTTTCAGACAAAAAATTGTTTTTCTTATTTTCTTTTTAATTTTAATTTAATTATTATTATTTTTTTAGTATCAATTTAAAGAATAAAAATGCACTCGAATATTTATTAAATTTGAAATGTATAATTTCACGGCATTTATTGCGTCCCTTTTCGAGAGGGACGCAATTTTGTGACAATCGGCAGGGATATTTTGAGACAATCGGCATCTCATACGCAAAAATTTTGGCCCCAAATCCATGAAATTGAACTCTAGGGTCTCGAGAGGGCAAACACACGTTGTGCCATCATGGCAAAAGAAAGCGCTACCATTGAGAATGGAAGGCCTCACGAAACTCTGTAAAAAGAATCGGTGAAATGAAAGGACGCAGAATGTTATATCGGGAATCCTTTCTAACATGATAAAAATAGATCGCTCTGTAACATTCACTGATATGTAGGGTGGAAGAGGAGCAGTCCCAAGACACGCTGTGAAACCACTCCCCCAATTGCATCTGACCAAACAGCGGTAACTCGATCGACCAACTGAAACTTCTATGAGAAATGCTCCCTTTTTGGCTCCTGGATCGTTATAAATCTAATTGCTTACGGCCGAATGACTGATAAAATATGATTTCCTGCCAGGTTTCAGACTGCCCCCGATGTAGAGTCCGACCCAAGGAATTGTGCTTCTACTGATCTGCAGTCGAGAGAGTTCTCGTTGGAACGTGCATTCTCGCAGTCGTACGGAATTGACGCAAGAGATCAGAAAATTTTGATACGACTTCCTGCGATCTCACCTGGAGGACTTTGGCCTTGTTTCCGGTCATGTAGAGCTTGAGGTCCTTGATGGCATGCGCGTGCGAAGCGTTGGCATCGAGGAGGATGGCCTTGGGATGGATGTCGAAGACCCGGCCGAAACCTCGAAGAACCTGACTCATCAACTCGTCGACCGAGGGATCTAAATACTCTCCCTGCTGGTTTTTCTGACAGTGTGCCGTGTCTACGTGAGTCCCTATGAGGATGATCTTCGCCGGTCGATATGACTTTCCGCAGTGACCTACCGTTCAAGCGTGGGGACTGCAATATCGAATGCGTGGTTACAGAGGTAAGATGTGGAATAATGCTAACCGAGGGGTTCGGCGGGGGGAAGCCGACTTTTGAGGAATCGGAGCCAGAATTGAACTTGTTGGAGTTGAACGCGAAGAGGGTCTGTAAGGCGAAAGATAATGGCATTGATGCAGCAGGTGTTTCCGATGAAATGGTCGTAGACGAGATAATACGTTTCCACGCCAGAAAACTCCCAGAGACTCCAATCCCCGGCTGCACCCGACAGCGATACCTGAACGGTAAGAGCCGTGACTCGTGGTCATTATCTTTTCAAGAAAAAAAAACAGGTCGTGACAAGAAACTGACGGGTCGACCGGCGAGAACGGATAAGCCCACCTGATGGACGTCGATTCCCCTGGTGTAGGCTTCGTGGTAATAGTCGAAGGTGAGGGATTCCTGCTTCTTCAGCGCCCTCGCATGCATCTCCATGCTCCCCTCTTTCTCTCCGATTCCTATCCACGAATCCCCATCACATCATCCTTCGGTACGACTCTCCTTCGAGTTCTCAAACCGTTTTCGAAGTCGGGAAACAACCTGGTCTGAAGAAGTTGAGGGATTGTCCCCCGCTCCCGCTGCGACTCCTGCGAAAGAATCCGGAGAAATATCCGGTCTTGAGGGTGTTTATGAGAGTCGTTTTCCCGACCCCCGAATGACCGAACAGCTTCAGTTTCACGCGGGGAATCGACTTCGACTCCGACACCAGTTGAGCTATGTAGTCCAAGCGGATACTCTCCTAAAAAAAAAAAATCAGTTTAATTTCAGGATTGCTGCCACTAGAGGGAGAGAGAATGATCAGATAAATTTAGTCTAGAAAAAAAAGCGGAAAGACGGACGTTGGAGAGCCTCCCGAGCAATTCCCCGATTTTCTTGTGGCCGTGAGCGTAAGCAGTGACTTCTGCCGTGATCCCGGTTCGATTCTTCTGCTGCACGTCGCAACCATGAAGGCACAGTCTCCTACAATCACAATTTCCTTCATCGAGTGTGATCGTACGAAAATTTCGCATCCGAACATTCACTATCGATTCTATTTATCGACTTTTTTTAGTTTTCATTTCTGTGCTATGTTTTTCTAACCTGATGATCTCTATGTGACCGAATTTAGCAGCTAAGTGAAGAGGATAGTTGCCATTCTTATTGGGCTGGTCCACGGGACAATTAAAGGCACAGAGAGTTTGTGCAATGGTCTCCAATCCCTCCCTGCTGGCAATGTGCATCGCCGTCTCTCCCATCTGCAGCATACGGAAATGAGAGATCGAGTCGAGAGATTTGCGCTAACGAACGGGGCCGAGTGCCGAATGAGAAAAACAAACGGACGGCGTCGGGGATTTCCGGGTTGGCTCCAGCCTCCAGAAGGAGCAAGGCCACTTTGGAATATTGTCTCCTCAGTGCCAGATGAAGCGGGGTGTAGCCCTGCTTGTCGGGAATGTCCAATAACGCCTTGTTCTTCACCAGGATCCCCACCACCGACATGTCGCCCCGAACCGCGGCCGAATGAAGCGGCGTGTCCCCGTCCTGAAAGAGAACTCGGCGTCGGAAAGAGTCCAACGAGAGGCGTAACGGTGATAACGCGACGATTCCGACGCGGGACCGCTATCTCGAGCGTCGGTCCCGATCCACACCGTACGAATCATTAATCCTTATCCGGTTTCCCGTTGAAAAACCCGACATTGATGTCAGCTGAGATCTTCTGAATCTTCGCTTTCACATTTGACGCGAGCGCAATGGAAAAGTATATTTAGGTGTTTTTCAAGCTTCCATGTCTTTCAGATCAAAGGTATGACGTCATGTGAAATTCAAAGGAAAGTTTTTATCAGCACTTCCCCCCCCCCCCCCCTTCCCCCCCCCCCCCCTTCCATGGGATGAATTTACGTGATTGAATTTCCAAGATCTCGCTCTCCACTTCTTTTCGTCGTCTTGCAGGGTCTTTCGTCAACAAATAAATTGCCGAAATGATTCCGAATTGCGTTTCATGTCACGGTTCGTAGAGATAATGAAAGCGTTCCTCATCGTCAGAGACTGCCATCATCTTAGCATTGGCCTTCTCTAATGCATTATTCAGTTTATGGATCGATACAGTTTCACGATTCTGCAGGGTGTTAAGAAAGTTGTGTCCCACTGCAATATGCCAATAACCTCAGCAAATATTTAAAAATCAGTAAATTTTTTAAATACACAATAACAAGGACAGTTAACTGATTTAGAATCACTTAATAGTTTTAAATATAGCCGCCCTTGGCACGGATGACAAGGTTCAGACCACCCATTGACTGATTTTCGCCAGACTTCTTGTGGAATTCGCTCCGATAATATTGAAAACTATTAAGTGATTCTAAATCAGTTAACTGTCCTTTATGTTTTGTATAAAAAAATTTCCTGATTTTCACATTTTTGCTGAGGTTATAGGCATATTGTGATGGGACACAACTTTCTTAACACCCTGTAAATACCATGCGATCTATCGTCTTCGACCAGGATGTGCGAAGTTAAGTATCGAAGTTCGCACAGTAACGAGTTCCATTCCATGCAAGGTATGGCGTACACATCACGCGTCATACATTTTTATGGGGAGATTACAGTGAGTCCAATCTGCTTTTTATGCCACCTCATCCGCAATCCATTGAAAATTCTGAGACGGATCACCCTGAATACCGCATGGCTCGTAGAAGTTTCAAAATTCACGAGCTCGAGAAGGGCGAACATCATATATGACGAAAGGAAATTTACACAGGGGTGACACGCAAATATCAAATATTTCGGTGAAATCAGTCGTCGAGAATCCGAGTGTTGACTCTCGATCGGCGCGAGGTCAAAAAAAAAAAAAAGCGAAGGAACAGGTGCGCAGACACTGGAAGGTTCCATCCCACGCGATGGGGCTGGACCTGGAGGTTCGACGGAGCGGCCAGACGCAGGCAGGCACGGGTTCGTTTCACATCTTGCGGAAATGGCTCTTCACACGCTGCTAAACGGCCGATTAAACCAAAATTTTCGGGAAATGATATCTGCACGTGAGACGTCCTGTACGTTTCCTGAATACGTCTCGCATAGTTTCGTCCGTAGTCGTGCAAAGTCGGGAACGTTTTGAGTCGCCTAGTACCACATCCGACACGAGTAGGTGGCTTTCCGAAAATGTAGACGAAATTCGTTCGAAACGCCGTGATTCGACGTGAACCGGATGCAGTGGCGTAACGTCGGGGGATCGGAGGGAGGGGGGAAGGCATGCATCTCCTTACTTTTCAGAAGAAAAACCAAAATTAAGTAGGAAAGGACACACGGAATGCTTAAGAAAAGTGTCAAAGAGTGCCAGTGTCCCCCCCCCCCTCCACACACTTTTTCCATCCACGCTATGCCTTTGACTGGATGAGAATATATTGTCGTGAGAACGAGTGACCCAGTCTTGGAATAGCAGTCATAGTGGAAGGAATAAATGCAATAAGAATGACTTGATGCAAGAATTAAATCCATCGATGCAGAATGGCTTTACGAAACGCTTGGGTTCATATCTTCCGAACGGCTCGATCGAGCGTCTCAAACATGGTGGAGTAACTCGACGCTGGGCGGGGAGGGGAGGGAGGGGAGGGAGGGGAAGGTCTCTATTGATGGTCCACGGAGGATCATATATCCCATTCATCTCGTCCAGCCTGACTCCTCATCGTTTTCCCTTTGACATGATATTTAAAAAAAAGAAGAACCCCTCTCCGCACGCACATGCGCGGAAGCTCTACCCCTTCTTCTTGAGCGCCCAGCGGTAGAAACCAGATGGGCCTAGTCATCTTTTTTCCCTTCAAATATCGACCCTGCAAGCAGTATCCGTACCGTTTGTTTCTTGAGCCATATGACTACATTTCAAAAGATAATATTCTCTTCTCTCTCCACTTCGCATTCGTGCAAAAACATTTTCAGAGAAATACATAAACGAAGAATACCGTGCAATTTTCTCATCGCCTTGCGCGCCGTCAAAAATTCCACTCGAGAATCGAACCGGATGAGGGTTAAAGAACGAAGGTGTACGAGTGACGAGTGCCTCACCTCATCTTGAACGTCTACGTCGGCCCTGAGATCGCAAAGGCACCCCACGACGTGGACAAGTCCGTACCGGCAGGCAGCGTGGAGGGGTGAAGCCCCGTGCTGGATGGGTCCACAATCAATGGATCCACAATCAATGATCGATCGGAAACTCACTCGGGAAGAATCACGAAAAACGTGGAACGACACAATAGAGGAGATGGGAAAACCGAAAGAGACCGACGAATCGAGGTTTAGGTTTCTACAGAAGAGACCATTTTATCCGTGAATGGAGCCGGCGGTACCTTATTCTGATGGTTGACGTCGGCACCGCGAGAGGCGAGGAGCCTGACGACTTTGGAATGCCCGGCCCGAGAGGCCCATATGAGAGGGGTGTTACCCTTTCCGTCTTCCGGATCTAGGTTCTCCATCTCCTCGCACAAGATCGCGACCGCCTCCACGTTCCCGTTCGCACTGGCGGCGTGAAGGGAGGTCTGCTGACGCATCTGCACGGAACGGAAAGGCGAGTGACGCGACGAGTCGATCCGCGTCCTCCGAGAGGGAAATCCTCGAGTCTCACCTGGTCTCTGGCGCTCGAGTCGAAGCTTCTGGTTCGGGCCACGAACTCGATGATGTCCACCGAATCTCCCGAAGACGACCGTCTCCAAAGACTCTGGAAACAGGACGAATCCTCTGAAAAGTCTGGATCGAGAACAAGTCGTGACGCGACTCTCTCGGCAGAGTCGCTTCTCGCACTTGGCAACCGTAACGCTGGAAACATCGAGTTGTGACTCGCAAAGTCCACGTCTTTCTTGCAGTCGAAGAGGTATTCAGCGTGAGGCGGTGATCAAATAATTCTACCTCCAAGACGGAAATTTTTAGTCATATCGACTTGAATTCGATTCGACTCAAATGTCTTCACGAAAACAAACGTTTTGTAAGTTTAAAAATTTGGAGAGTCGTTGAGAGATCCCCAGAACAATGTGCGACCTGCCATCATCGAGAAAGGGAATCCTATCGATGACGTGAAGTTGGCGTGAGTGTGCTATAGTTAAAAATCTCAAATCTGAACACGATCGTCCTTGTCTCTCTATAGTTTTCTTGAGTTTTCAGAATCCATGCAGGCGGGCTTTGCTCGGTTTCGGATTCGGATTCGGAATGCAGATCTAATAAAATTCAGCCATAGGTGAGACTCGAACCGAGATTACATTTGTGCCTCTCATCTCCGATTTCTTGGATCCGTCCTCTCCGATATCGCGATATCCTTACCGCGCTCTCCGATATCGCAACATCCTTCCCACGCTCTCCGATGCGCCTCTTCCAAGCCGAGAGACGCAGGAACCTGGGAGCCTCCACCGGTATTTACATTCCGTTCCCATCCTTCAAAAATCCATACCCGTCCCAGAATCGATAAACACATCGTGCGCATTTTTGCAACCCGGTGTTGGACCCCATAGAGAGAGACGACGCCTCGGTTCCGCCGGTAAATTAATATGGATATTTTTAGGGCTGCACGCGAACGCTCTTTTGGAGAAAATCTTCTCCAGAAGCGCGAAGGACGAGCCGTTCCGTCGCTCTAACCGACTCCGAGTGGCAGCCGTGGCGATCGAGAAGCAGCCGTGACGCAACGAGGCTTTTTTTTTTTACTGATCGCAAGGCACAGCTTAATTCTGCTGGGAAGATGACTTCCCGACATCAGGCAATCCGGTAAAACTTTATTTTTCCTTAGCAGATGATCAGCAGTTAAGACGTGATCGGTGATGGAATTCCTCCGTCCGGTTGCTTTTCCCAAGTGGGGAAACTTCGGACCCGTCGAGTCGGCGCTGCCGTCAGTATTGGGTGATGTCTCCATTTCCTTTGCAAGCTTTCTCTGTATCTACCCGACTCGGCTTTTGTTTTTAATGATATATTGTGCCCGATCTTCAGCTCCTGGAACGAGTGGATCGTTTGTGAAAACCGTTCGAGTGAAATTTCCAAAGACTAGCGTGAGCCCAGGCCTCATCGAACTCGAGTGCCCGTGCCCTTCGTCGGACGCAGGAATACGAAAGTGTGAAGTCGGGAAATTGGCTAAATTTATGTGAGAGTAATAATGATACACTGCGTAGAATAAACTGGTACATTCCGCCTGGTACCTTAAGGAATACAGTGCGTAACCAGTCTATCACGAGAGTGGAAAGTAGAAATATGACGATTTTGTCAATACCCTGAAATAATTTGTAAAAGGAAATAATACCAACGAATTAATGCAAGAACTTACAGAGGTTCATTGGATTCACCCGACAGAACACGTGAATATGCGTGTATTGTATTCACAGGAGAACGAGTATTTGAAGGCCTCAGCGGTGTTTACCTTGCCCCGGATAAAATAATCTCATAAGTCAATATAACCAGAAACGGCCTCGAGTAATCACAGCAATTATACGCCTCGGGTGGTCGATAATTCGACCTCTCGGTTTTAATGGTTGCATGTCCCCGTGTCGGCCCAAATTTTCTCTTCCACTAATCTCGGGTGATAGATACATAGGACTTGATGGCACACTTCCAAGACCGTAAGGAAGAAAATGTTAGGAAAAAGATGGCTCATTCAGCAAGTTTGGGATCTTGCGGGAGGTTCTGCTCTATGAATACATTCTTGAAATGATCGTCGCCGAGGAAGGAACGATGAGTTCCCAGAGAGATCGTGGCATTCCGGAGCGTCTTCGAAGAACTCGAGAAGTATCGAAGCCATCGAGAATCATTCTAGAGAACGGCATATCGCGTGAAGAGGCGAAGAGGCAAAGGGGCCAAGAGGCAAAGAGGCGAGGAAGCGCCTCGGAATTGGAAGTAAGAGAAGTTCTAACGATCGTTAAAAAGAGAGCCAATCCGAGAAATGCACGGACAGGTGAGTCCAAAGAGCAATCCATGAAAGAAGGAAACACATTCCCAGAGATCCGATCCGGGAGTTCCTCGCGGTGCATTCCCTCGTTCGAGAATCTCGGCACGACTCGAGCGGGCGACGGAATCGTCTCATCGACTCGGTCGAATGCTACGATCGAGCGAGGGACGAGAGGAATGAAAGGAATCCCGTCCACGTCGTCTCCGTGGAGACAAAAATAGATGCATCTCTCCTAACCGTCAGAGAGGCGATGAACTGCCGGATGATAGCCGACTCTATTAGCCCAATCGGTTCTACTTTTCTTCCGAGTCTCAGAAGTGACTCTTTATAATATGGCTTGTTCTAAGCTGAACGATCGAGAGAAGACGCTGCAGGTCGACGACGGGGCTCGGGATGTCAACCCCGGGGGGGGTTTGACATCCCGAGCCACATTGACACCCCCCCATCAAGAACTTCATGGTGGTGATAGCCTCAAGATTGAAGTAATACAATTGTCGAAGACACGAGAATAGGTTGCTCCATCGGGGTTGGAGGTGGGGGGGGGGGGGGCAGAGCGAGAGTCGAGAGAGGTCGAGAAGAAAATGGTTCATGGTGTTTAATGAGAGTAAATGACCCCACATCAATCATGATAGTGATCTCTCTCTGAATGCTTTCGGCGCGGTTAAGCTAGGAGAAAAAAACGGGGAGAAAGAGAAGTACTGGAATCACCTTAGATGAGGAGTAAAGTTCTCTTAGGCATAAGTCACGGTAGTCAAACGTGATGGAATTTTAGACGCGATCCGACATTCAACAGCAATAAGAGCGATCGATACTCTTCCTTTGTGTGCACGGCTCTGATGAGACCCCATTCGGAGCATTGGCCCCGATTCCGAAGACTTGCAAATGAAAGCGATTTCACGGCGATCGAAAGAATCGAGAAGATAAAATAAGTACTCGGACCGCAAAGAAGTGAAGAAACGTCGGGATTCGACTCGCCGGAGAGAAGGTTAATTAGCGTGTGGGATCTCATCCAAGTTGTAAAGCCATTAAGAGAATCGATAACGAGGAGCGTGGCGGCTATTTCCAACTCCATGGCAGCAGCAGAACGAGAGGAAAATGGTACGAGTTATGTCAACCACGAATGAGATGCAGGTCGTGGAATCATTTCTTTACTTGCAGGGTAGTTTGACGTTAGATCATAAATCGTTACGTTAGACGTAGCTTGTCACATGCCGTGACTGGCTTTAAATGAAGGAAATCGCATCGCGGAAAAGGAAGCAACGTGGTCGAAAGTGACCGAGCAGTAGGTAGAAATTCTCCCACAAAAATATCCGTCAGTAAGAGGGGTCGGTTAAGCCGTATTTCACAAGACCGCGGACTCGATACGGGGTTTGGTGATGAGCGCCCTCATCCGGACCTTCAAACTTGAATCGAGCAAACGGTTCGAGTGATGAAAATAGGTCGACGCGAGCCCGTATCGTGCACGAATTCAAGCTCTCGAAATGGGAAAGAATGGAATGGCATGCGGAAGCAAAATCGGGCTTTAGAATGGCGAGCATGCGAAAGAGGACGGATGCTACGAGAGGCGTTGCACGATCCCAGAAAAATCTACTGAGGTCATTCGATCGCGGAAGTCTCGGAAGATCGGTTTAAGCCTGGATTTAATAGGAGGGGTTGGGTTCGCCGAGGCAATTTAATGCATGAATTACAGGGGAGAGTAAGCTCATGAATTTCATCGTTGGAATTCCTGGAAGCTCCCGTCTCCCATCCCTCACATCTGACGACGAGTGTCGTCGACTCGAGAGTTCCTCGGGGGTTCCACGGCCTCAAGTGTCAAAGGATCCGGGGAAAATTAAGGCCAATTTCGTCGCATCCAGCATCCTCTGTCTCGCTTCTTGGAATCGCTTTCATCCGCCTTTCAGAAATGGTTCGAATCGTTCTTCTCGAGCGTACTTTGCTTTCCCGATCCTTCGACGATAGACGCCGAATGGTTCGCAGCGGAGAGAAAGCTTTCGACTCGCGATAAATCCCCCGAACCTTCGTCCAAATTTCCTTCGAGTTCGTTCCCCTGGTGCCTTCAACCGTGAGTGTTAAAAATGATGATAAATATAAAAATGACTCGAAAAGGGATACCTTAGTCTCTCCCCGGCCGTCACAGTGCAGACGACCACGTGTCAAGAATGCGAGGCATTCCATGCAATGGTTTCAATTTCAAATGTTGGCAGCGCTTAGAAAAGAACATTTTCGCTTGACTGATGACAACCGTCTGAGGTCATGCGATCGCTCATCACCCTGACCCTGTTTAACCCATGCGATCGCTCATCACCCTGACCCTGTTCAGCCCATCGTCCCCGAAAGCCGACTCTGGCGTTTCAAGTTCTGAAGAGCTGCCATATTTCACCTACGATATCGTACTGTCTCAAGGCCAAGATACACATGGCAAGAATTCGCTAGCTCGTACTCGCCAAGTGGATCTTGGCTTTTAGAGAGCAGGTGAGACGGCACTTATTTTGACGGCACAAGTCAGACGACATTACGAGAGGATTTCACCCAGAGGATTTCATGGTTGTGAGACAAAAGTTCACAATTCCAGGGGGAAAGGCCACATGACACGTGCGCGGAACACAGTAGGTCGAAATGTATCAATCCAAATGGGCATGAGAGGCGATGACCTAATTATTTTCATTTGTTATTTAGAACCAAGTAAGTCAAGTTTCCTTTTAAAATTTTCTTCAGGTTTTCACAACGTCCGCACCGGAAAAAATCCCCTAGGCGAGCGAGTCGAAAAGTATCAATGTACCGAGTCTGATTAATAATAGATTTATTATAAGAATATAGCAGATTTCAATGAGCAGAACAAAACCAAAACAAAAGACAATAGGGTATGATACTTTCTCTCGGCGGACAGTTTCAATACAAATAAAAAT